TGCTGTCCTACTGACAACTCTTGTTTCTTTTCTTTTTTTAGTATTCATGTCGTGTATACAGTATTCCACAAATTTATATAATGTAATGAACACAACTTACTGCCAATTATTATGACTAAACAATTAATACAATTTTGTTTCTTTTAAATTTTTAAAAGGGCAAACGTATGTTTTATAATATTGTAATTATGAATTTAGATTTTGGGAAATGCTTATCACCTTAAGAAAATAGAGTTGAATGTTAAATTATTCGTGATAAATGTAGCAACATGTAAACCAAGTGGTATTTTGACTTCGATACAAAATACTTATTCACAATAACTGTATTAATAACCAAAACGCAAAGAAGCAAAAAATGGGCTAAGTTATATGGCCAATAAGTACCTTATTGGAAACTGTATTAAGTCACTAAAATAAACAGTCTTTGAAAAAAATGTATGTTAAGGTTTAATGTGTCCTTAAACTGAAACTGTTAATCAAGTTATAGTTTGTTCAGTCCTGCTTTTCTACTGTTTTAAACAGTTTTAAATAAAATTATCTAAGGTGCGATATTTTTTTCCTTTTTATATACATTTCATATTTCATCTGTATTATTAACTCATTGTTGTTGTGAATTGACGTATATCAATTAATAAAAATTTGATTTGTTTAAATTGTAGCACTCTTTTTTACTTTCTTATTTAAGTACCGTGCTACTGTATATATGACATTTCTGAAACCACAAAATAAGATTTAACGAAACTGCAGAAATGTTCCTTGCATAGTTGTTCAAATCAATATCACTGTTTACAACCATTTACTTCCTGTGATCGCAGGATAATGATACAAGATGAATTATATAACTGTTACAGTGATCGGAAGTAAAAGGTGCTTGGAATGACAATAGCCTATACGTACTGAATCGTATATGTTTTTTTTAACTATGACAAATTACAGAAAGCTGTATGGCTTTTTCAAAGAGTAACATAACAATTTCAAGTTTTGCAACTACTTTTCTGAGAAAAAACATCCATATTGTTTAGTTGAAAGTCAAAATAGCAAGATGGTGACCGTAATAGGAAGGCATATTTATATCATTAAGATAGGTTATTATACAAGCAGGAAGTGAAATTGTTATCCTTTCATCGCTTTAATTGATACAAAAATAATTACATACATACAGGTTTAGTTGCATTAAACATTGTCAATAATAATAGAGACATAGACCAACAGACATAACAGGTCAAACACAACAGGACACAATAGCTATACCTATTGAAGAGCGACAAAGAACGGAAAATAAAACGCGCAGTAATAATACATACATATTTAAATATATGATGATAAACATTTTTTTACATGAAAGGAAATTGTTTTATCATTAACTAATACTTTCAATATTTTGAGTACATCTAACTTACACACAACATGGCTAAAGAATACTTAAGACAGTTGAATCATATGCGATTGCTGTAAATGATAGTTATCCCGTTCTTTACAAAGTCGATATTGTTCGACATCGAAGCTGAAATCAGAATCTTTAAAAATATCTTAACGCGCAAGCATTAAGCCCTTATATTTAACGTTTAGCATTTTCTAGTGGACGAATTCGAAGTTCAAATCATGACTCTGTCTAAAGTTTTGTGTGAATATCTAAATATGAAATTTCCCATGTAAGTAAAAACGTTTTGGTACAAAAACGCTTTCTGGAGTTAAAAATAACACACGTTTTAAATGCATTCAATAGTAAATAAAATATACAGTAAAAATCCTAAATTAAGACCACCATCGGGACTGGACCAAAGTGGTCTTAATCGTGAGGTGGTCTTAATTGTGAATATTCTTATCATTGCCTACATACCTTATGACAATGGTCTATCTTAGTCATGTTGAATGAACAAACAATATGTATCTTAAAGCTGCACGCCTCCGGATTAGCCAAAATATTTCAAGGAAATTAATCTTTAAAAAATGTATTAAGATCTAAAGAAAAGTAAAACTATTCAATATTTAATTAATTATTTACATATTACTTGCGATTAATGACTGATTTTGCAGTATCAATCACTATAATTCTACTGTGCTGCTTACGCAGTAAGAGGTATTTATGTATATTATGACCTCTTTTTGGTAATTGACGTGAATTTAAAAGCCGATTACTTACTTTGTTCACTTCACAATATTTTACTTTTAAATACATTTTCAAAATTTTCATGAAAATTAGCATGATTCTGGAGGCATGCTGCTTTAGCCTATAAATACAATATATGTTAAAATATTTAATCAGATGAGAGCAACACATCTTTTCTGAAGAAATTTAATATTAAATTCTATTTGGTCTGATTCCAACATCAATTATTATATAATGTACATATCTATCATATAAGAAATTTATTCTTTACAAACTAAATGTGCTGAAAGGAAAATAAAACCACTGTAAATCTAAAATTTACCTTCACACATTATTTCATTCAATAACCTTGTAATGACAGTTTTTGACACCTTATAAAATCTAGTGTCATGCCTAAGAGCATTCAAGCAGATTATAACAACAAATATGTGATCTTAGTAGTAGGTGTTGACTTTAAAATCAGTGGTCTCAATAGTGAGCTCAAAAAAAGCATAAATCAAAGAATTGGGACTGAATCTCGTGGTCTTAAAAGTGGATAACCGGTGTGGTCTTAGTTCTGGAGCATGTAACCATTGACATAAAAAACAGAAAATTCCGTTCTTTTTAACAAAATGGTCTTAATAGCGGGGTGGTCTTAAATCTGAGTTGGTCTTATGTAGGGATTCTTCTGTATACCCTAATGACTAAATTATTAAAAATGTTAATACGCTTTTAACTCAAATCGGGTAAAGAATTACACTTTCAATCTCTTTCTAAGTATATTTCTCCACCATATTTTGAATGTGTTTTATTCGTTTAAGTGCCCTAGCTGATATATGTAATAATTTAGTTGTTTATGCTCATTGACCTCAGTGGAGTTCCTTCAATAAAGCTAGAACTCCGCGTGTCGGGTGTGTCGCCTTGTGAACAATATAGTTTAAGAGAAATTGTTAGGAAAAAAAAAGGAAATATGAAAAGTAACAAAGGGCAACAAAAAAAGAAATATGAAAAGTAACAAAGGGCAATAACTCAAAAAATGAAGTGCAGAGCAGCAGTTTCTGTGCACTGCACATCTTATCAATAAGATCTATCATCCTATGAAGTTTCAAGTCCATAGCTTTTATAATTTATAAGAAATGGCCTGGACAAAAATATAGTATGAAAATTAATAAAGGGTAATAACTTAAAAATAAGACATGCAGAGTACCGGTTCTTGTGCACTGCACTTTTTCTTAATGAGATCTATCATCCTATGAAGTTTCAAGTCCATAGCTTTAATACATTAGGAGAAATTGCCCGGACAAAAAATAAAGTATGAAAATTAACAAAGGGCAATAACTCAAAAATTAGGAAGTGCAGAGAACCGGTTCTTATACACTGCACATTTTCTTAATGAGATCTATCATCCTATGAAGTTTCATGTCCATAGCTTTTATACTTGAGGAGAAATGACCTGGACAAAAATAAAGTATGAAAATTGACATAGGGCAATAACTCAAAAAATAAGAAATGCAGAGTATCGGTCCTTGTGCACTGCACTTTTTCTTAATGAGATCGATAATCCTATGAAGTTTCAAGTCCATAGCTTTTATAGTTGAAGAGAAATGGCCCGGACAAAATTAAAGTATGAAAATTAACAAAGGGCAATAACTCAAACAATTAAGAAATGCAGAGTACCGGTCCTTGTGCACTGCACTTTGGGTTATTGAAAGAAGCATGCATACCAAGTTTGAAGTCAATCTGACTTATAGTGACTAAGTTATGCTCCGGACAAGCTTTAAGGGACGCCGCCGCCGACACCGACAACGACGCCGCCGACGCTGACAAAGCCGACAAAAGGCGACACAATTATTGACATATTTTGATAGCGTTCATATGAAAATAGTAAGAAAAAATTATACCTATACAGCAAACGAAAAAATAGGAATAACATTTTAATATACATAATGATTGTAAATCTAATTTACAAAAAACGTAAAACGATTTTAAGATGAATATATGTTTAAAAAAAAGACACCCATAATGTGCACTGTAAGAAACTGTAAAATAGACACCATAGGGCAGTTCTATGCCTTAAAGAACACCTGTAAAACAATGTACAAAGTTTACCATATGGTATAATTTTTTTAACTAAAACTTTGGTATTAAAAGGGCTCTTTTTCAGAAATGAGGAAACTCACAAATAATCTATAAATAATCTATAATATCATCATTATAAACAAATGATTTCCTATTGATCATTGTTAAGAAAAAAATAATAGCATTCAGGTAACAAATCAAACAAACAAAATTAATGTTTCTACACAAAAAGTTTAAAATATGTACAAAAATGTTACCCTTATGTTACCCTTCCCTACCCTCTTCAAACACTTATTTGACCGTTTTCTTATTTAAAAAGCCTTATTGAAAATATTCCAAAAATTAACCACAATGAGGGCCCGTTTTTTTTAAGTTTGCCTTATTTTCTTTTATGTAAATTGGTTGAACTTGCAAAATATAAAACTTTTACCGTGTAACTTATATTTTACTAGACTTTGAAATCAGGTACGTTATTTGCTATTAAATTTGGATTTATTTCGCCAATTATTACCTACATTTATTACATAATTCAAATCAAACACTTTTTTTTTTATTTCAAAGGCATTTGAGAATTAAATGATTTAATAACGTTAAAAAAGGGGTGGGAGGAGGGAGTAAAGGTGACCCCTTTTGAGGAAACCCATGTCACTCAATTTTGCAGAATGCAGTTGCCAGTAATTCTAGCCTATTTGATAACTCTTCAAAACGGAGTAAATGCATTAGGAGGAATCTTAGCTTAATGTCCCTTTTATAATTGAAAGAAAACTGGTCTATTTTGTAAAGCAAACAAAAGTAATAATAAGTATTAGAATTGTGATGGCAACAATTGAACATTGCATAAGAAAGTTGGTAGATTCTGGCTGATATTCAAGTTTGTAAATATCTTCTGTTGTTGTTTGAGATTCTTCTATTACTTTGAAGACATAGTAGGACTTTATCAAAACTTCTTTTTCATTTCTAAAATCTGAGTATTCTTCAGCTAATAATCCGTCCACATTTGATATCTCAAAAAGTTTTCCTTTATGGCAACCATCGTCAGCAAAATGTTGAGCCAATTCTCGAATTAAAGTGGTACTTGTGATCTGGTTGAATTTAAAATTACGTCCTTTTTCAGGGGGACCATTCAGTACTATACACCCCCTGTATACAATTTTATGTTTTGTGCGACCGAGAATGTCAATACCTCTGTTAATTAGATCACCAGATCGTTGCCAGATATCAGTCTTTGTGGGATAGTTGCTGCGCATTTCTTCATTCAATTTTCTGTAGAAATTACTATCTTGAGTATACAAGTTGATAAGTCCTATTGCATACTTTCTATCCATGGTTTCATAAGGGAAAGTCGCCATCTTTCTTTGCGCCTTTTCGACGTTTGATCTAAAGTCTTTGAGATCTTGAAACAATACTTTTACTTCACCAGAATATCCGTCATCTTCTGTATCTATAAATTTAATATTAATACAGGTTTAATATACATACATTCAATTTCAATTAGAAAAACAGGTCCCGGAACAAAACATTAATATAAAAATGTAATTATTTAGAACTTAATTGTTTCATTGGGGAGCCTTTTTATACGAAGTGATGATAGCAAGGTGAGCGATAACATAAATCAGCAATTATCAACCATCAACTACATTCAATAAGAAAATAACCTGTAAGTAAAATGCAAACATGTTACATTTCCCGTTAAACATTTACCAAATGTGAAACTTATAACAAAAAAAACAAAACATTCAACAACAACAACAACAACAACAAAAAAATGAAAAGATTGAAAAATCAAAAAAAAAAAAAAAAAAAAAAAAAAAAAAAAAAAAAAAAATCAATATCCTGTTGTTGTAAAGTTGGCACCCTAGCAGCTTAAAAACCTAAAGAAAACTAAGAATAGAATTAGACCATGTCACGTTTTTTTAATATCGTGATCTTTATTTTTTAAGATATTGAACTTTATTTTTTTCATCATTCTGACGCTTCGAAATTTTTGAAGTTGGCAGCCTATCAGCCTAAAGAAAACTAAGGATAGTACAAACATAAAAACCATCGAAAATGAATCGGTAACATTTACTTATACCATATAACACTTATTTTAATATCATGATTTTTATCTTTTAAAATTTTGAGTTTTCAATGTTTTTTTTTGACGGATCTTCGAAATTTGTGAAGTTAGCAGCCTAACAGCCTTACGAAAACTTAGGAAAGTACAAACATGAAAACGGTCGAAAATGCATAAGTAGCACTTCCACAGATCATTCAATTCCTCCTTTCAATATCGTGATCTTTATTTTTTTTAGATGTTAAACTCTTTTCTTTTCTGACGCTTCAGAATTTGTAAAATTGGCGGTCTAGCAGTCTTAAGAAAACTAAGGTTAGTACAAACGTGAAAGCCGTCGGAAATGAATCGGTAGCAATAACTTATACCATTCCACACTTTTTCCAATATCATGGTCATTTTTTTAAGATGTTGAACTTTTAAGCTGTTTTTTCTGACGGATCTTCATAATTTGTAAAGTTAGCAGCAGAGCAGCATCTTAAAAAATAAAGATCACGATATTTAAAAAGCGTGGAATGATATAATAAGTGCCGCAGATACGATATTGAAAAGATGCGTGGAATGATCGAAGGAAGCGCTTCTAATGCATTCCCGACCTATTTTTATGTTTGTTCTGTTCTTAGTTGCTTTCTTCAGGATGCTAGGTTGCCAACTTCACGAACATCTTATACAAATATAATCACCTTACCACCAGTCATATACATATATGTAGGCGTTCACATAAAAAAGTTGTCTGTTTTTTTTGACATTGTTAGAAAACGAAGTTGAATGTAAAACAAGCCCTCGAATCCGTACAAAAGTCCATAAACTCGTAATGTCTATCAGATTACGGGTTAATCAAATTATTATTTCACACATTATGGATATTTTAGCAACTATATTTTTTTACCATCCCTGTGGTTGTGCGATTTGTCGCTATGGCTAATTATTTATGTTACACCTTGGCCATCAATTTCTTAATTTATAAAAAAGGCTAAATAAAAGGTAGACGATATAATGTTGAGATATTCATAAGAGATGTACAGTATTTTTCTCAAATACATTTATTTCGAGTAGAACGACTAAACACAAACGGTAATTCACGGATATATGGAACTACCGATTTCCCTCATTGATGCCTCAACAGGGGGCGGGGCGTTATCGATAATTGACAGGTGACGCTCATAGCAGATAAAAATTGTATAGGTACCATTTAAAAACGTTTTAAAACATTGTTTTTGAACTAACTGCTTCCAAAATTAAATCACGAATGTGTTCAGAAAAGTTTGATACATATACTAAGCTAAAATCTCATTTTTGGTATTTTTAGTGATAATTGACTACGTTGTCACTTTACCTTTGACTTAGTTCCATACAATACAGCGCTACTGTCTAAGTAAATCGGAAAGTTTTATGAATAAATTTCTCATGAACTTATAAAATATTCGTTATGATGCGTGTTTGTTAATTTGACTCTCTTTTAATGGTTTATATATTCTATACACTCTTTATAGACGTCATTTGCTGGTAATGAAGTAATTATTTTATAGCGTGAAAGCACATGCTCTATAATTATTTTGTTTGTTTCCTGGACAGAGAATTTGTTTACTGTATAGTGCCCTGACCTGTTGACTTATGTTGCAATGCTTGCAATAGTTAACACTGTTTATACTGTATAATCGCATGTTAAGGGTTAATATGACAAAAATTTACTCATGTATATATTCTGAGATACATTAAAATATCTATATTTTTGTTTATTGATGCGATAATAGTAAGTTTATAGGTTTATAATAGTAAGTTTATCTTATTTTCTTTGTATTTGTCTGAAAATCAGTACGACTTTTTCACCACTGTATTGACTCATCTTAATGTGAAAATTATGCATATTGTGATTATAATACACATTTGTTTGAGCATTAACATCTGAAATATTTTAACTCCAGAAAGTTTTAACATAAACGCCTGTACTTCATAATATTCATTTTCTAGATAAGTTTATTCATCATTACTTCATTATTGGCATCATTAAATTCAAATCACATTTAGCTTCTATTCAAATCTTATTTCTAACATATCATTCTTACTCTATATTAACATCTATTCAGATTATGTTAAATTGAACGCATTGGTTGATAAAAGATTCGACTTCTGTAGAAATGATTTTGATAGTTAGCTTCTTGATGTTCATAGCATCAATTATATAATGAAAAAAATATCATGTACCACTAGATCATGAACTCCTACACCTGTCCATGGAAATTCACACTTTTATTGAACATGCTATCTCTCCTATACATTGTATCTAACATGATTCAAACATACTCATTTTCATTACACATAAGAAATCAAGTCGAAAACAACATAAGATATCCTTACAGACGATGCCTTCCATGTCACGAGCGTTATATTCAAAATTCTTCAACTTCATCTCTATCCACTACATCATCTATGTCTCAGGACCTCACAGGCCTAATGTCATCAACTTCCTGTTTATCTGTCATACACTACAGTGTAGAAATTCTCTATCTGTCTTACATCAAACTTATTTTAGAATACACTGATGTTGTCTACTCTATATGAAAAAAGACCTTGATAAAATCCAATTCGAAGCTTCTAGAATTGTCACTTGTTTCTCTGCATGAGCTCAAATGGGAAGTCCCTTTGGAATCTTTAGAGTCTAGACGATTGAAACACAAACTCATTCTTCTTTACAAAATGAAAAATGGACTTTCCCCAAACTACCTTTCATCTCTTGTTCCCCATTCAGTAGGTGAGACATCAAGATACAATCTTCGCAACTCAAACGATATTAACGGTATACGAACAAGAACTTCTCTGTATTATAATGCTTTTCTTCCTTCAGCTCTAAGAGACTGGAACGAACTCCCTGCTGAATTACAAAATGCATCTTCACTATCATCCTTTAAATGTGTCTTCTGAATAGTGATCAATGAAAATGTCCAAAACATTTTTATACAGGTATCCGGAAATGGCATTATACCATGCACGTAGACCTACGAACTGAGTGTAGTCCTCTCAACTATCACTTATTCAGAATAAATATAACAAACTCACCACTGTGTCAATGTGGTCTTCCAGAAACAAACTACCATTTTTTCTTTGAATGTCAATAATACAATGATATCCGAAATAGCCTCTTTCACACTCTATTTATTGTAATGCAACTCTCCCCATACTACTAAGAGGTGACAACAACTTAAGTGACGTCATAAACACCAGTATATTCGATCCAGGCAGTTCAAATATATATCCGAGATAGCAAACGTTTTCCATAGTCCTTAGCAAACTTTGTTCACTCAGTTGACATACCAAATAGATTCTATAATAATATATTTTCTTTAAGGCAGTGTATTGCACCATTTCTACTCCAATATATATGAATTAATATGAATCTATCTCATCTTTTTCTGACCATCAATCTCAATATGCAATTTTTCTGTGTCATTTTACTAGGTCATAGTATTAGCATTTTATGTTGATTAGCATGATTTCCTATCCAACTAATTTCAACTCTATATTGTTTTACTTTTAGCTCTGAATAGACTTTCATTTTCAAGAAAGTGTTCTTCATGATATTATATTTCGGACGTGAAATATACCGCCAAATTTACAGTAATAAATTTTATGTTAGGAAAATACCTCTATAAGCATTGTATGCTTTCGGATCCAATCCTTTTGCAGCATTGTATATCATGTAACTAACGTTTGTATGTAATATATGTTTATGTGAAAATGTTTGAAATAAAATATGTTTAAACTAAACTAGTGCATGAATTGCATGTACCACTTGATTATTGTCTTTTCTATTACGACACTTTCTTGTTGAATGTGAATTTAATGGTAGGGTGACAAGTATTGTATTTGTTTATGAAATTTGTTGAATTCCAAAATATCTGGAGATATTTTTGCATAAAAGGCACAATGAACGTTTATAAATTTCAATTATTTAACAAAATAGAATTAATTATATATATTGAATATAGTACCATAATGAAAGTTTGTTTTACACTTCTTTTTTATGTGTTTACATGCCGTAGAAATGGACGTTTTCTTGGCGCATCATGGATATATCTTCTACAAAAGGAAGCGGACAATGTATGTTATGTTATCAGTCTAAATTTTAAAGAGGGTATATATTAAAAGTAGTATCAAAATAAACTTTCTTGTAAAATTCTATAATCAAATTTTCGATTGATGTTTTGGAAAGTATATGGAAACATTTCCTCTCAGAGATTTTCCAAAACTGGCATACAGTATGTCTAACTGGCATACAGTATGTCTATCAAACAATTTTAAGTCTCAGATTTACATAAAAACAAGCTATGTTTGTAAAACATGTTTGCCCCCTATTGGCAGCCAATTAGTCATGTGAACAGGTTATTATG